GTCCCTAGGAAAAGAACAGGAAGCTACAAAAAGTGAACATTTAGGGAATAAAAAAAAAAAAGAGCTCTTAAAAATTAAAAAATATAATAGTCAAAAAAAAAATTAAATCAATAGAAAGATTGGAAGTTGAGGAAATCTCCCAGAAAGTCAAAGAAAACACACAGGTAGAAATGAAAGAAAAGATAAGAAAAGGCTAGCAAGAGTTTCAGAAAGAGAGAAGAAAAAAAATGGAGGGCAGAAATTTTTCAAAAAAATAATTACAGAGTGAATGGGTTTCTAGATTAAAAGTCTTAAGGCAAAGAATGCAAAAAGATCCTGTAATGCAATTCTGACACTAACTATCCAGAGTGGGCCAAACTTCACAGGTTAAGGGCACAGTCCTCTACAAGACTGCCCTCCCTTCGGACATCAGCTGCAAGCTCAAGGGTTCCCAGGTCACCCACACTTCTGACTAACTGGCTACAAATTCAGGGAGTTCCCACGAGCCCCTCAGGTTCAATATTTCACTAGAACAACTCATAGACCTCAGGAAAATGCTATACTTAACGGTTACAGATTTATTATAGCAAAAAGGATACAAATCAGGACCAGCCAAAAGAAGAGACACTTAGGGCAAGGCCTTGGAGGGTCCCACATGTGAAGCTTCCATTGTCCCCTTCCCATGGAGTCAGAATGCATCACCCTCCCAGCACATGGATGTGTAATAACACATACAGAGTATTGTTAACCAGGAAGGCTCACCTGAACTTCACTGTGCAGTTTTCATTACATAGGCATGACTGATTGAATCATTGTCCATGTGGTTGAACTCAATCTTCAGCCCCCTCCCTCTTCCTAGAGGTCAGGCTGATACCACATGGTTCAAAGCCCTAACCTTCTAATCACAAGGTTAGCCTTTCTTGCTTGGCCAACCCCTATCCAGAGTCATCTTAAACTACCAAGGAGGCCCACCACGTGTGACCTTATTAGCGTAAACTATCAGGGCCCACCATGAATAACAAAGACAGTCCTATCACTCAGGAAATTCCGAAGATTATAGGCTACCTCCCAGGGACCAGAGACAAGGGCCACTCAAATTCTTGATTATACAACAGACTCACACCAAGGCACAGCATTGAAAAAATTCAGAAAGCCAGAGACAAAGAGCACATCCTAAAAGCTTCCAGAAAGAAAAACAGGTCACATAAAATGGTTTGTAGATCAAATGATATCAATCTTCTCAATAGCAACCCTGGTTGCTAAGAAACAGGAGAGCAATACCTTTAAATTTCTGAGGGAAAATTATTTCTCATCTAGTATTCTATACCCAGCTGAACTATCATCCAAAGGTGAGGGTATAATAAAGACAATTTCCGAAATGCAAGGTCTCAAAAATTTTACTTCCCAAGTACCCTTTCTCAGGCAGCTGCTGGAGGATGTGCTCCACCAATGTGAGGAAGTGAATCAAGAAAGAAGCAATTAGCTCCATAAAACAGGGAAGTCAACACAGGAGAGAAGTAAAGGGAAGTTCCAGGATGATGGTGAAGGGAAGTTGTAGACTGAAAATTATAAAGCAGGTCTAGAGATCAATACGTTCAAATTGAAAAAGAAAGACAAAGGGCTCCAAGAAGGGATGTTTCCAAGAAAAACTGGAACTGATAGATTGATTACCTGACATGTTTGACCATATGAAATGATCTTTGTAGCTCTGGTAAGAAAGTATTGGGTTAAAGTCATAATACATACATAGAAATCTAAGCCAAAAGAAAAAAAATGAGATAATTTGACTCTGAAAAAATTGTACAAGAAAGGAAAGGTAGTCAGATTACTCCATAGTTATATAGTCAAAATACTATCAATATTGAATATTTATTTAAAAATTGAACTATAATTCTATTGGAAGAATAGGGAAGACCAACTATGTGGGGGTGGGAAGGGAAATATAAGAGCTACATTTCTCCTTTTATTGTAGAATGTCAGAATTTAAAAATTAGGAAAAAATAGATTATATGGGTCAAAATATGGAAATAAATATTAGAGACAAAAAATAGCTAAAAGAGTAGTTGCCTTTGGGGAGTGGGAATCAGGAGTGGTGAGGGCAGGGCAGAAGACTGCCTTTTTTTTTTGTCATACAATTAGTTGATTTTTTTGTGTGTGAGGAAGATCAGCCCTGAGCTAACATCTGCCAATCCTCCTAGTTTTGCTGAGGAAGACTGGCCCTGGGCTAACATCCGTGCCCATCTTCCTCCACTTTATATGGGACGCCGCCACAGCATGGCTTGACGAGCAGTGCGTTGGTGCGCGCCCGGGTTCCAAACCGGCGAACCCCGGGCCACCACGGCAGAGTGCGGGCACTTAACCACTTGTGCCACCAGGCAGGCCCCCAATTAGTTGATTTTTAAAAACTGTGTACATGTATTATTTTGATTAAAAGTATGTTTTAAGAGAAACAAAGGAAATAAGAAATTGCAGAAAAAGTGAATGTCCCTAGGGTAGCATCTGTTACCTTGGTAAATTCATCACCATCCTAGGTCCAGACATCATCTCAGAAACCAGAGCTGTTAGCCCTAAAAGCGGCAGCATCTCTATGGAACAGACACACATTAACCAGGCTCATGAGACTGATGTTTCAAATCAGACGCCAATTCATTAAATTATAAAGGGAAGCAGGGCTTTGAAGCAGACTGAATCTTCTTGTTGGCTGATGAGTGCATTCTCTCCCTGTGGGCAGATCTACATACGGAACAGAGTGGTTTTCAACGGGTTGCTTGGTGATCCAGAGCACAAGTGAGGGGGGCGAGGGGGTGAATTAGATGGTTTCAAAAAATGATGCCTCCATCTCCCTTGTAGCTGTACCAGCATCTTTGTCCTCAGACAGTGCTAGGATGCACACTCTGGTGATTGCCTTGACAACTCAACTGCATTAATACTTTATTCGGGTTATAGTCTAGACTGGGCCTGCCAGTTATTCTGTCTCCATCAGGTAGGTTGGCACATCTCCACTTTAAAGCATTAGAGGCTTGTGTCAAGCAACACATTTACAAAGCACCCATGATGTGTCATGTTAGGCTCTGTTCTAAGGCCTGGGGTTACAGCGGTCAACAAGACTGACATCTGTACCTTCCCTCATTAGGTTTACAGCTTGGTGAGGAAGATAGACATTAAACAAAGTGTGCAAAGTGAAGGAGCAGCCTCTCAGAAGACAACTTAATTTCCTCTATCCTAGTTCTTGAGGTGGGGTCACCACCTGGTTGCTCCCAGATATCACCTACTACAATGAACCCTGGGGAGGGGCTGTGGGGTAAGGGCTCTCCTCTAGATAAAGAAGATCCACTTTCCAAGCATAGATTCCCAGCCTCCCATGGATTCTATATCCCAAATCCTTCCAATAAAGTGATTTTCTGCTTGAATTTGATTTAGGGTTAGTCTCTGTCATTTGTAACCAAGAACACTGACTGGTACAGCAACCATCCCAGACATCTGTGGACCAGAGAACAGGTCACCAAAAGGCAGTTGCAACCTGAAACCTTTCTGATCTGTGCCTTCCATTCAGCACAAAGCAGGGCACACAGACTTTCTCAATAAAATCTGGTTGGCTGAGTCAGTAAGTTCACAGATATCTGCCAGAAGCTGTTCTACGTACTAAGGTTACAAAGTTAGTAAGAGCTAGTTGCTGCCCTCAGAGATGTCCCACACGCACCTTAGACCCAACATATCCAAAACTGAGGGTGTCATCTTCCCTGCCTTTTCTCCCAACCCAGGTATCAACTCACACCTTATGTCCCACTCTCCAAGGACACTGAACTGCTGGCACTTCTCTCCTCCCTCTGCTTGGGATGCCAACAGTAAGTATCTTCATGTTCTTAGACCACAGGGGTGAGAGAGAAAGAGACAGCAGGCAATCAGGCTGCTGATTGTAGACAGGGACCAGAACTTGAGTGCCAGATAGAGCATTCTAGATGTATTGGCTGCTATCCCAAGTTACTGTCCCTGGCCTAAATAGAATGACCGTATAGTTTAGCTTTTCCCCTTTCACCGAAGGTAGTCTGCATATGTCCCTTCATCTTGGCCAGAGATGCAGCTGCACTCAATGTTCCCATTTTACAGATAAGCAAACAGAGGCCTTAAATGACCCGGCCTCACAGCTAGCAAGTAGCAAAGCAAGGGCTTGAACGAAGTTTCCAGACTCCAAATCCCCATTCTCTTTCCTCTACTGGTACAGCTCCTACAGAATGTCTTGTGTGTGGTGCCAGGGAGGCCAGCCCTAGCCTGGCCCTGGGGAAAGAAATTTCCCTCCTTACCACCCACACCAGAGGCTGTCTGTTCTGCTTGCCTCTCCTCCTGGCTTAGTCCCCTTCCCTAGACACACTATCTTCTTAACCCCTCACAACAATCCTGTGAGATATTACCATCCCTTAGTTTTATAGATGAAACTGAGGCTCAGAAAGGTTAAGTTTCATTCTCCAAAGTCCGGAATCTTCACCACCTCGCTTCGCTGCGGTTCAGGTTTGGAACACCGAGCTAAAGAAATGGGCCAACGAGTGATGAAGCGCATGCCGGGGACCAGCCCAGTTTAGGGCTGCGGGCCACCAGGTGGCGCTGTGGAGGCGCGTGTGCCCTCCACCTCACCCCCCACAGGCCAGACGCACCTGAACTGAGCCGGGCGAGCCCGGCGAGGCGGGGAGTAGCCCTATTCTCCAGCTCAGAGTGGGCAAAGAGCGCGGTTTTAGTTCGGCCTGCTGGGGATGGCCCGGGACTCTCTAGAATCACGCCCCTACCAAGCGACCGCTGGGCTGCATCAGCTTGCCGCCTGCCCTGCGGTCCCCAGTGTGCAATTCATTTTGCGGCGCACAGGGAATAAAATAGAGCGGGAGACAGCAAGCCAGGAGGGGTGGTGCAGAGACCACCGCCCCCACCTGTCGGCGGCTGGGCGGGGGCGGGGGCGGGGCTTGTCCCATAGGGCCCGCCCCGGGTCCCAGAGCCCGGGGCGCGCGACGAGATATAAGGCAGTCGGGAAACAATGCGCCTGCATCTCGCGCTCCCGCGCCTATCCCGGGAACGTCCGGGCCGCCGTGCGCGAGCGAGGGAGGGAGCGCGCGTGCAGTGGGGCGCGCTCTTGCGTGCGGGCTGCGCGCTCGGTGGCGCGCATGTGCATGTTTGCGGGCTGCCGGGCTGCCCCGAGCCGGCGGGGAGCCGGTCCGCTCCAGGTGGTGGGCGGCCGGAGCGAGGTGAGGCTGTGGGCGGCCAGGGGACGGGCGCGGGTCCCGGGGGGCGGGCTGCAGGCTGCCTTCTGGGCCCAGCGCGCCCCCGCCCGGCCCGGCCGGGCCCTGGGAGCTGTGCTCCGGGCGGCGCTGGCAAAGTTTGCTTTGAAGTCTCTCCCCGCAGCCTAGTCCACGCGCTGTGAGCGGCTTCCCTGGGCACGCTGAGCCAGGGCCCGGCTTCCCGGGACGCGAGGGAAGGGCGCAGGCTCCAAGCCGAGAGGTTGGGGAGGGACAAGAGCCTGGCAGCTGGCAGTGCTGGGGGACCCGGGGGCGCCCCCCTCCCTGGACTCGCACCCCAATCAGCACGTCCCCCTTCGCTCCCGCAGGGAGCGGACATGGACTTCGACTCGTACCAGCACTATTTCTACGACTATGACTGCGGGGAGGATTTCTACCGCTCCACGGCGCCCAGCGAGGACATCTGGAAGAAATTCGAGCTGGTGCCATCACCCCCCACATCGCCGCCCTGGGGCTTGGGTCCTGGCGCCGGGGACCTGGTCCCTGGAATTGGTTCCCCGGAGCTGTGGCCCGGAGGGGGCGCCGGAGACGAGGTAGAATCCCGGGGTCACTCGAAAGCTTGGGGCAGGAACTACGCCTCCATCATCCGCCGTGACTGCATGTGGAGCGGCTTCTCCGCCCGGGAACGGCTGGAGAGAGCGGTGAGCGACCGGCTCGCCGCTGGCGCGCCCCGGGGGAACCCGCCCAAGACGGCCGCCGCCCCGGACTGCGCTCCCAGCCTCGAAGCCGGGAACCCGGCGCCCGCTGTCCCCTGTCCGCTGGGCGAGCCCAAGACCCAGACCTGTTCGGGGTCCGAGAGCCCAAGTGACTCGGGTAAGGACCGCCCCGGGCCATCCAAGAGGGGGGCACGCCATGGGTGGCCAAAGCTCTGCCGCTGTCTGAGGTCAGGCACTGGGTCTCCGCAAGCCCTTTGCCACCTCCGCCTTTCTCTGGCTGAAGCTGCCGGTATAGCCCCCAGCGGTGTCTGTCTGGCACGTGGGTGTGTTAGTAAACAGTTTGAAGAAGTGGCGTGGGAGCCAGCGTCCGTTTGATGATGATTGGAGCCCCAGGGGACAAGGGAGACAGGGTGAGGCTTGGCGCTTAGGGAGGACAATACTGGGATTGGACTGTAGGGGATTTCTGTCCTCCGGAGGCTGGAAGAGGTCCCCAAAGGGTCACTCCAGGCTTTAAGTTTTTTGTTGCTGCTTTTTTCCCTGGGAAACTCACACTTCCCCAGGGAGAGAAGAAGCTGAGAAGCCTTTGTGCAGCGCCAAAGCCTCCATCCTTTTAAAAACCTGGTCTCTTGACTGCTTTATTTTAAAATGCCAATAATGCTCTCCCCTTGCACCTCCCACACCTTACCATTTCTGCAGCCACACCATCCCCCATGAGACAGGCAGTGGAGGAATGAACGCTCCCTGTTAACAGATGGAAAAACTCCCCAGTAATAGATGGAAAAACTGAGGCTTAGTAATAGGAAATCACTAGAAGTGAACCCCAGCTTCCTATCATCTAGCCAGCCTCTTTTGCCCAATCCGCCATCCCAACTAGGCACTTCTTCATTGATGTTTAGAGGGTCTTCATGGTAGCTTACCTGAGAAGGGCTACACCTTGCCCTGTTGCTTTGGCCTGAGGTGGAAAGGTGTCCTTCTAGCTCCCTCCCAATTCATCTGAGGGCTTCAGCTGCTTCCTCGTATTCGACAAATGTCCACTGGCCCCTACTTTGGGTCACGAATATGGAACTCCAGGCTCCCCTCCCGGATCCTTGAATGCAAGTGTAAACCTCACTGAGGGCAGACTTCAGCATCCTGTGCCACCAGACTACATTGTTCTTAGCCTAACCTCTTCTTAGACCTCCATATCCATGAGAAACACTGGAGAGGGTGCTTTTATAGGGTGCAGATTGAGGCTAGCGTCAGGTATAGCACGACAGAGGAAACTCGCTGTAGCTTTTAGGAATAACTTTTACATGACCATTTAGAGGGAATTGGGGAATGGGGTATGGAAGTTGTCATACACTTGAGGGGAAAAATAAAGATAACAAGAAAAATTAAAAGTCAAATTTTTTGGTCCACTGTGTTAAGGTCATTTTTTACCTGCTTACTTTCTACACCAAGAGCTTGTGTTTGTTTAATGGCTGGAATGGGAATTTTTGAGATCAAGAAACCAATAAAGATGTATCTTTACAAAGGCCGATGGAGTGGTAGAGTGGAAAGAGCATTTTTTGGGGAGTCTGGAGCCCCTAGTTTGAGATCCAGAACGTTACAAAGGTGATGTGTGGACTTGGCTGAACCGGGTCTCAGTTTCTCACTTAGCACATGAGGGGGCTGGACTTGATTGTCCAGCTGAGGACATTTCCTTGTCTGGGTAGAGTTAGACACTACTCTCTGAAAAGGAGAATGGTGTCTTACCTTATTTCTTCCTTAGGCAGAGCCATCCCCAGTCATGAGGTTTAACTGAAATATTAAAGGTTTGGGATGTAGGGAAGCCTCCTGAATCATTTTCTGACCTGCCCTTTAACCTGACCCTGTTTGCAAGCTCCTGGTTCACTCACAGGCCACATGGCCCAGAACAAAATGCAACAGATTGCAAACAATGAGGGGGGTGGGGAGAGTGACTGATGGCAAAGCTCAGCCAATAGGGGCTAGGGGCTGGGTAAAACAGCGTTCCAAACAAAGCTTAGCCAGCCAATCACAGGCCTTGGGGCCAGGAGGGCTGAATGGTCAGGTTTTATTAATGGAGAAATAATGCGATTGTCCACACAATGGAAGCCTTCCTGACAAAGGGGCTCAAGCTTCCTGATATGCAAAAGAGGCCGAGAACTGAGCTCTTCTGTTGTCAGGCTGAAAAGCATTAAGGTGCCCTTCTGTGTGGGGGCTGCAAAATGTGTGGCGCAGGAAGATTTCCCCCTAATTGCTCCTCTCCTGGTTGGGGTAACCTAAGAGACCTTGGAGCCAGCTAATGATGGGGGCATGTCCAGGTGTTTCCAGGTCCCTGGTGTTTCGGCCCTTGTATCGGGACGTTTTCCTGCTCAATTCCTGCCCCTGTATAGGTAGCTTGGAAAGGGTCGCTTGTACCTTTGCGAAGTTCTGCAGCTTTTGCCAACCTGCGATTACAAATCCAACCCTTTTCTGGTCCAGCGAAGGGGGTGGGACAGGCGACCTATAAATGATGGATGACTTGAGAAACCCATTGAACCCAGGAGCAAAATGCTCCTAAGGGAAACCTTTTCCCTCTCTGTGAGTGAGGAGGGATGGGTTGTAGCCCTCCCTTCCCTGAATCTTCAGCTGAAAGGGATTGCAGAATAGAGAGGTGGGGGAATAATAGGATTTATAACTTGTGAAAAGTAACAATTCCCCAAGTGCAGGCTGTGCTGGGCAGGAACAAAGGGCAGCTCTGCCCACAGACCTCTCATTTACAATTCTGATGGGGCATGAAAGAGCCCGACTGGGGAAGATCTTTATAGCTAAACTTTCTCCCAAGCCTGTAGCTCTTTCTCTCCATCCACTCTGTGGGGGAGGGGAGAGTCTGTGCAGACTGGGGGCTGTTGGCTTGGGTCTGCCTTTTGTTGTTATCTAAGCCTTGCTGTGCAAAAGGAAATTGGAGAATATTTTCCTTCTTGCTTATTTCCCCTCCTTTCCTTCACACTGCCCTTACCCCATTACAAATGAATCAGCTGTCTTTCTCCTCATGTCAATTTGTTTATATCTGAATTGGGAAAATGTCACCTCCTTTCCCAAGACCCAGCATAGGGTCTGTGTATATGTTTCTCACGGAGTGTGTTTCTTCTCTTCATCTCTCTTGGACAGAGGGTGAAGAAATTGATGTTGTGACAGTGGAGAAGAGACAGTCCCTGGGTGTACGGAAGCCGGTCACCATCACAGTGCGAGCAGACCCTTTGGACCCCTGCATGAAACACTTCCACATCTCCATCCACCAGCAACAGCACAACTATGCTGCCCGTTTTCCTCCAGAAAGCTGCTCCCAAGGAGGGGCTTCAGAGAGCAGTCCCCAAGAAGAGGCTCTGGAGAGAGACGCTCCGGAGGAAAAGGAAGATGAGGCAGACGAAGAGATTGTGAGCCCCCCACCTGTAGAAAGTGAGGCTCCCCAGTCCGGCCACCCCAAACCTGTCAGTTCTGACACTGAGGATGTGACCAAGAGGAAGAACCACAACTTCCTGGAGCGGAAGAGGCGGAATGACCTCCGTTCGAGGTTCTTGGCCCTGAGGGACCAGGTACCCACTCTGGCCAGCTGCTCCAAGGCCCCCAAAGTGGTGATCTTGAGTAAGGCCTTGGAATACTTGCAAGCTCTGGTGGGGGCCGAGAAGAGGATGGCTACAGAGAAAAGGCAGCTCCGATGCCGGCAGCAGCAACTGCAGAAAAGAATTGCATACCTCAGTGGCTACTAACTGACCAAAAAGCCTGACTGCTCTCTGTCTTATAAAGACTTGAGTTTATTTTTTAATCTTCCCTCTCCCCTTTAGTAATTTGCACATTTTGGTTATGGTGGGACAGTCTGGACAGCAGATTCCAGGATGCATTACAGCCGGTGCACACACAATAAGGGCTTGCATTCTTGGAAACCTTGAAACCCAGCTCTCCCTCTTCCCTGACTCATGGGAGCACTGTGTCTTCTCTGGCGCCTCTGGCTTCTCAGGCAGTCAGCTGACTGAGGAGCCTTGGGGTCTGCGTAGCTCACTAGCTCCGAAGAAAAGCCTGACAGATGCTATGCAACAGGTGGTGGACGTTGTCGGGGGTCTCCAGCCTGCATGAAATCTCACACTCCGAATGAGCTTTAGGCTGGGAAAGGATGCTCCCACTGGTGTCTCTGGGGTGATGCTAGGACAGCTGGACCTGGATGCTCTCCCTGAGGCTCCTTTTTCCAGGAGACACACGAGCTGTCTTGGGTGAAGACAAGCTCACAGATTTGATCAACATGGACCGTTACCTCACTGTCAGACACTTTACAGTAGCTGAGAAGTTGGAAATCTTTAATATATATCTTACGATGTTAGATGACACCCCCTCCTCCCACTCAATGCTGCGACCTTGAGAACATTTGAAGAGCTTGGGCTCTAGATTTTGTCTCAAAGCCCTCTGGGCCCTTTCCTCTAAGGGAGAGACCATTCTGTCCTCCTAAGGGACTTTTTTGTTTCTTTCTGCCTTTGTTATGCAGTGGGCCCTACAGCACCTCTTTCCCACAGGTCAGAAATATTTCCCCAAGACACAGGGAAATGGGTCCTAGCCTGCGGCCTGAGGAAGCCTTGGAGTCCTGGCCGTGAACCGTTCCCTGCCCAGGTGTTTTCCATCCTGGAATCTTTTCTCAAGGCAGATGTCAGGCACCTCAGGAGGGAGAACTGTACCACTTCCTCTTTCCCACCTCCTCATCTCAATCCCTGACAAGTTTGAAGTTCTACTAGAACCATGCAAATCTGTCCTCATGCAACTCCAAGGAGCTTGCTGGCTCAGCAGCCACCTTTGGGCCCCCTGCCAGCCTAACATGAGTCAGATCCCTTTCTCAGAATCTGGGCCTCACTGAAGTTCTTACTGGGAGAGCTGCCGGGACTCATCCAGTGTTCCAGAAGGTGGACTAGCTTCCGGGTGGGTTTGTTGTTTTTTTTTTTTGGTGAGGAGATCAGCCCTGTGCTGACATCTGCCAACCCTCCTTTTTTTTTGCTGAGGAAGACTGGCCTGGGCTAATATCCATGCCCATCTTCCTCCACTTTATATGGGACGCCACCACAGCATGGCTTGCCAAGCAGTGCGTTGATGCGCACCGGGGATCTGAACTGGCGAACCCCGGGCTGCCGCAGCGGAGCGCGCGCTCTTAACCGCTTGTGCCACTGGGCCGGCCCCCCCGGGTGAGTTTTAAAGGAGGTTCCAGTAGTTCTGCTTAGTGGCCTGTGATGGATTTTGACCCAGCTAGACTCGGCACCTCCAAGTGGATTCCAGGTGCAGCCTCCAGTCTTAGAGAGGCACCCAACCCGACAGGTGTCATGTGCGCAACCTCAGGGCAACCTAAGCCTGGCCTGGAAGAAGGACCAGCCCCTCCAGAACTCTGTCCAAGGCAGCAGGTGCCTGCTGGCTGTGAGTTTGAAAGTTGGGGTTGGGGGGGATGGTAGAGCACTGTATATGGCTCTGGAAAGACAGCTGCTACTTCCAAACCTATTATGCACGATGGTCTGTTCTGAGGTTGCTTCCTGGCCTCAGAGAACCCCAGTGGAAGTTTGGAAAAAGCCCCTCTACCTTCTGGAGCATGGTTTTCAGGAGCCAACTGACTTCTGGAACTGTCTTTGGAAAACAGGTGGGATGTAGGTTACTGATGTCTCACCTGAAGAGCTTGTGTTTTATAAGCTGCTGTTGGGTATTATGCTGAGAGCGGTCTTTTTTTTTTTTTTTTTCTTTTTTATACTGTATTTTTGTATGCCTTTTGCGAAGTGGCGTTGTTTTTGTACAAGAAAAAACTCTTGGGCAATTCTCCTGTTGCAAGAGTCTGATTTATTTTGAAAGGCAAGTTTACCTGAAATTTTGTATTTCCTTGTGATTATTGATTGCCTGATTTTAAAATGTTGCCTTCTGGGACATCTAATAAAAGATTTCTCAAATATGTCAGAGTGGGGCAGCTTGTGCCAACTGAGCCCCCTTGAACCAAGGAAAACTATTTCAGAGTAGCCACAAGTGATCCAGAGGGTTGCATTTCTCTAACCATGTTGCTAACCTGGTCGTTCCACTTTGGGTTCCTGAAATGCCATTTCAGACATGTCTAAACAATGCAGGCTCAGTACTTGGTGAACGAAAGTCTCTTGTGAATTGCAAAGAGTGCTGAATTTGTACTTTAGAAGGCTGGAAATCCCGGTTCCACCATTACTTGTTCTGTGCCTTTTAGATTTACCTTTCTGAGCCCTAGTTTCCTTATCTCTAAAATGGGGATAAATGCTACTTCCCAGGGGTTTGGCAGGTATTAAATGAAGTAGTAGACTTTAAACTGCTTTCTCAACTATAAAGCCGTATATTCTTGATCTTTTTTTTTTTTTTGCCCCAAAGCCCCAGTAGATAGTTGTATGTCATAGCTGCACATCCTTCTAGTTGCTGTATGTGGGACGCGGCCTCAGCATGGCCAGAGAAGCAGTGCGTTGATGCGCGCCTGGGATCCGAACCCCGGCCGCCAGTAGCAGAGCACGCGCACTTAACCGCTAAGCCACGGGGCCGGCCCAAAAGCCATATATTCTTTAGGGTGGTACTGTTCTTACCTTAGAGGTACGATGACTCTTTCAGGATGTCTTTAAAAATTCTCAGAGAATTTGTGAAGTAATGTGATTTTTTTCCTTCTCCCTCAATTAATGGAAGAAAATGAAGGCTATCCTTCCCTCCCATAGTTCTCATAAACTTGCCATAAATGCAAAAGGGGAGAATTTAATCATAGCTGTTCCTGATAGAGCACTGCCTATGTCTAAGCACTCTGCTCGCTGCTACATATTATGCCATACCAATCCCGTGCTGGGGCTACAGAAGAGGAAACTGAGGTTCTAAGAGTGAAACAAAACTGCCCAGTCACACAGCTAGTAAGTTCCTGAGTTGGGATTTGAAACCAGCTCTGCCTATCTCCAGAGCCAGAGGTCTTAACCACTGCATAACAATGATCAGCTTGTTTTGTTAGCATGGGGTATGTAAAGGAGGTAAACATGGAATTCCATCACTTAACTGCCTGCTGGAGCCGTCTCTCTTTGGAGCCACTGTGCCTACCACTTACTGGGATGAAGAGGAGCAAATGTTCCATGACCAGCCACTCTGCCGCATTTGTGGGCTGGGTGGGTTAGTCTTGCCCCAAAGAGGCCCCTTCTGGAACTGTGAAAGGAAAACAGTTGCTGTTCAGAAAGGCCAGGAGCATCATGGTGGGAGAAGGCCACTTTGCCTCAGGTAATCCTGCGTTACAGCTGAGACCTGGGTCGGTATTGCATGCCTGCACTCCTGTGGAGCTTGAGTTGAGTCCAAAAGCTACTATAAATTCCTCATATTTACAAAGTGACCCTCATCACAACCTGGTAAGTAAGCAAAATCTGCCACATGCTGGGCCGGCCTGGTGGTGCGAATGGTTAAGTGCCGGCGGCCCCGGGGCTTCGTCAGTTCGCATCCCAGGCGCGAACCGACGCACCGCTTGTTAACCCGTGCCGTGGCAGGTCCCATATAAAGTAGAGGAAGCTGGGCACGGATGTTAGCCCAGGGCCAGTCTTCCTCAGCAAAGAAAAAAGAGGAGGATTGGCATCGGATGTTAGCTCAGGGCTGGTCTTCCTCACAAAAAAAAAAAAAAGAGGAAAAAAAAATGAGAAAAAAAAAAAAATCTGCCACATGGTCCTGGAGCCCAGAGAAGTTTCTTGCTCAAGGTCACATAACAAAATCAGAACCCAAACCCAGTCTCCTGTCAGGTAAACTTGCTACTCTACGCCCACTGCCCCTAGGTCACCAAACCTAAGTACCTGTTTGATAAAACAGACTTGGATTACTGAGATTCTTAAAACTCCATTTCCATCTTTTAGTTACAGTCACTCTGTTCCCGGTATATAGTATTCATCTTTTTTGAGGCCATTTGTCAAGAGACTAATTTGTAGGACTTCTCTTCCTTTACTAGACCTTGAAAGAATTCACAGGCCCTCAATAAAATAGTAGGGACTCCTAGGTACAGGCACTCACGCTAGTTGTGTTACATATCTTAATTCTCACAATAACCTGGAGAAGAGGGTAATGTCAGCCCCATTCCACAGATGAGCAAACTGACCCTCACAGACATTTCAGTCATTTTTCTAAACCCACACAGCTAGTGCCAGCTGCTTGACTACAAGCTTCAGCTCCTTTGAGTCTGACACTGCTCTGAGAAAGGAGTGGGAAAAAAAGCCATCTCCTGGGGGGAAGGGAGGGTGTTTCTGGAATGTGAAGTATTTTAAGCTCCTTCCTAGCTCATTTCTACCGACTCCTACCTCTATCTTTATCTGAAAATAGCCAAGAGTTTATTCCTGGATTTCGGAGAACCATTTCTACAAATTAGGTTTGCTCTGAATAGTACACCTAAGGGACTATGCACACAACTCGGGGACAGGGTTGTAGACAATAAGGGGCAGCTGAGAAGCCACATTTGGTGTAGAAAAGAAAGGTCATCTTCTCTGTTAGACAATAAATTACTAAAGCATGTGCTTAACTCCTGCCCCTGCTGGCACCTATTTTGGGGGACCGAGAGACAGGTTGAACTATTTTAGATGTGCTGAATTTGTCTTAAGTGCCCCCGGGGTCAGGATATTCCAGAATATTCACTTTAGAAGGAGAAGGAGGGGATGGGGATGCCTTTGTTGATCTGGAAGGTGATAGGAGGGAATGAGGGAGAGGTTCCTTTCTAAAGATAAGATAGCCAGTTGGGAGATGATTGATGACTGGGTGTCTGGAGAGGAGTAAAGGGGAGGTGTCGAAATGTGTCAGCTAAAGTTCCGTTGGGGTGTGGGCGTTTCTACTTTAAGCCTAGTGGGCAGCTCTTGTTAATGTCTTTATTTAGAACTGCTGCCAAAGGGATCAACTGTTTTAACGTTACTATTCCTTTGCAAGGAA